ATCATAATCTATTCTTAGACAATAAAGACGTCTGGCTCTACCAGACATTATCAATCGAATTTCTGTGTTTGTATTAACTCTACTGAATATGACACAAATTAACAAGGAGGAACATGTACCGTGGTAATAGTAAAACATAAAACATCATTTCCATTAATTTCAATATTTAAGGGGGGTATAATTTCACAATTTTTATTTTCTTTCACAAGCTGTTTGACTGTTTTCCAATATGAACGGGGGTTGTTTTCACTACTGTCACTTAATGAGTATTCTAAGTCATTATAGTATTTTTGTTTTGCGTGTGTTTTAAGATTATTTACTTTATTTCGAAGTTGTTTATATTTAACCCAATCGGTAATTTCTCCGGATTGGACAGCTTTTGCTTTTTGACGATCTCTTTTACGGGAAGTAAGACGAATAATAGAATCGTACCAGGGTCTGTCATTTGGTCTGATAGTTATGTAATTAGAAGGGATACACTGTTTCGCAAGCTCCATAAATTTTACATTAAAGTTTTCGGTTGCTTCATCGAGAGTATTAGAGTAAAGAAATGACCAGTCTGTTGTTAATATTAAATCGTTAAGTTTCTCAAAATCAGCGCGATTGTAATACCACACAAGTCTTTTGTAAGATACTGATTGGGGTAATTTAAATTTGATATAAATATAAGTGCCAAAATGATCACTGATATTCCTCGGTGTCTTAAAAATACCCGAATGTAAAATTAAATTCTGGTCTGAGATTGCAATTGGATCAATAAGAGTTGACGAGTTGTCTGCGACTCGTGTCGGTTCCGTAATAACATTATACATATTATTCAAAATTAATACATCGCGAAGTTTATGGTTCCTTATGTTTAACTGGTCTTCATTAATGTCACCTACAAATAGGACTCTTTTTGATTTATTAAAAGCATTTTCTAGACAAATATTCAATCTAACCCAAAAGTCTACATTTGTATTAGGTGGACGATAAATATTACCTATCAAAATTTTTTCATTACGGTCTTTTATTTCAATCCAAAGTGATTCTGGTAAGGTATTTTCCAAATCAATTAACCTTTTAGATACGAACTTTTCATTAACATAAACTAAAAGTCCACCAGAGTGACACGTGTTGTCTTTACGGTATATTTCGCTGAAATTAGTTAGTTTCAAACTGTCAATATTGATTGAGTTGTCCAAATGTGTTTCCGTAAAACAGATAATATCAAAGTCTAACCAGTTATCTGTAATATATTCAATTTTGTTCCGAATATTTCTTATATTCTGATGAAAAACTGATAGAGATCCGTCACTGATATCATTAGGCCCTGGATTTAATTCAATATCACCTGATAAAATTATAAGATTTGATAAAAGAAATGCAAAATGTAAGTTCAACGACTGAGATAAAATGTTTTGTCAATTTATACTGTAAGCTCGAGGTGAGCTGTGATCACAATTTGTCCGGCGTCCATCGTCCGTCAGTGTCCGTCGTCAACCTTTTCTCCTCAGAAACCACTGGGTGAAATTTTCCTGGGATGTTCCTAGCACGAAGCTCTTCCAAAATTGTTCAAACGTTACTGCTTCATTGAACACCCGGGTCAGAAGTCATTGATATTCGTTAAATGTATAGAGGATATTTGTTTGTTTGTGTGTAAGATGAAATTTTATTTCATCGAGTGGGCTTTAAAAACAGTATTCTCACGAGTGGTGAAGCCACGAGTGAGAATACTGTTTTTAAAGTTCACGAGATGAAATAAAATTACATCTTACACAACAAACAGACAAATTTTCTTTTTATTTCATGCTTAAAAACAAGTTAAAACGAAATTTCCATAATTTTAACGTTAATATTAAAACTGTTTCCCCCCATTGAGAGCCCCATTATTCGGAATTTCTCATTAAAAAAAAGAAGTCTTGAGCTGAAAAATAAGTCCGCCAATCAACATTAAATGACGGTGATATTTATTAATTTTATTAAAAAAATATGAATGATCGCTTGTTTTGATAATAAAAACAAACAATTCTTGTAGGAGAAAAAGTCCAACCATCCATCCATATTTCTGTTACTTAGTGCGAATTTATATTAGACCTGGCTTTGTAAATTGTAAGCGGCAGCCATTTTTTAAAGTTGTGTATTTCATGGGAGGAAAATAATTGTGTAAGATTCAGAGGGATATAATTTGGATTTGTTAGTCATACACATTTTTAAAAGAAAGAAAACTTATTTGAGGATTGTAACAGACAAAAAATAAGTGTTGACAGATGTGAAAACATTCAGAAAAGGGGCTAGGAAAATGGAAAACTTGGAAACCTGCTCAAGAACGCTGGGTTGATTTAACTTATTCTTCGAGTAATGGCTGTCAATGCTTTCAATTTTTCATAAAGCATACGGCAGTTATTGCTCGTAGGATACTTTAATATGCCCAAATGTCATCAAGAGCAGTTTTGCATGGGGAAGGAATGTATTTTTGAGACTGTCAAAATGAAACAAAAAAACGAAATTTGGTGATTGGAATTTCATGAATTTGAATGAATAGAAGTAAGTTTTCTTCTTTTTATTACTTTTGACATTTAAGTTATTTATCAATTTCAGTTTTGCTTTTTCTTTAAACAGCCTGACATTGTCAGAATTGTCAGCAAAAATAAAATTGAGGTACCACATGGGGAAAATCTTAAAAAAGTAGTTTCGTCATTGAAAAGAGTGAAATTATATTTTGATAATTTTCACTGTGAAATTACCAAATATAATTTTCACGGATAAATCAATAATCCACTGAAAAGCATAAAATAAATAATAATATATGTATATATTATATTATAAGCATCTTCTCTGTTTTGACAAAGGCTATAGAGATTATATTATTTGAAAGACCCTGATCTTAATAACGGCCCTAGAAAAGTTGAAACGATTAAAAGACATAGTATCCATAAACTGTAAAAGGAACAATCAGTTTCTTAGCTATGACAAATTACGTGTCATGCTTTTTATCTCACCTGTGCCTGGGACAGAAGATAACGTTATCTTCTGTCCCAGCCCGAGCACAAAGTGCTTAAAGTGAGCGTTTGTGGATCACAATTTGTTCGGCGTCCATCGTCTGTGTATCAGATCGCCCGTCGTTAACCTTTTTGCAAACGACTTCTTCTCAGAAACCACTGGGTCAAATTTGATTAAAAAAACCTTGGATGTTCCTAGCATGAAGCTCTATTAAAATTGTTCAAATGGTCCTGCCCCATTATACATCTGATGTCACTGCTCCGAAACATAATTATGTAGCTTTATTTTATTTATTCTATAATGTACTAAAGTGTAATATTATGAACGAATTCGACTTCATGGATTCACGTTTAGAACTCTCCGAATTCAACCTCGTGAATATTAAATCTTGAATTTGTGTAGATGCAATCGTTAAGTCCAAAACATGAAAACATGAAGTTGAATTCAAATTGAAATCGTGAATTCGTGAAGTTGAAATCGTGAATTCGTGAAATTTAAATCGTGAATGTGAAATCTTGAAACGTGATTTCCGTATACTGAAAACGTCAATTAACGAAGTTAAAATTGCGAGTTCACGAAGATAAAATCGAGAATTCAAAAAATGTTTAAATGTCCTAGTCTTTCGTAAATTCAAGGTAATCTTCACTAATTTCTTCATAGAGTACAATGTTATTGATATTTTTCATTCAATTAACATTTATATTACATACGCAATGAAAAAAAAGTGATATGTACATGTATCTGTATTTAATTGTGATTCTTAATGTAATTTGAATTCTTTTATAACTAATTGCATTATGTATTTTATGAAATGTTTTGGTTTTGTAGGATATTTTTATTGTGATGTTTTATTGTTATTTAAATTTATTTTATTTATTACATGTTTTATTCTTTATAGAATAAATTTATTAAAACAAAACAAAACAGAATTCAATTTTGTCTTTCCATGAAGTTCACTGTAAATGCATTTGTCACGTTCATTTATCCGAGAAGAAAATGTTTCACTTAACAACAAAACTATTCCAAAACTTTATATTCAGTGAAAAACGTAACTATATATACTTAACATTAAATATACATATTCCATTTATCATCCTATAGATTATTGGTAAAACCTGGTGAAGAGGTAAGGTATCTAAGTCTATATTTGAAGATGGTAGAATGGAGTTAAATAATATGTAAGTTCTTTTATTCCCAGTTTCACATTTAATTCGAGATCACAAGTATGTGTAATCTTTAAGTTACTGAGTTGCAAATGATATCACTGTTTTCCAAAGTCATATTTTTGCAAGAACGGTCAACATTTGAGCCGCGTCACGACAAAACCAACATAGTGGGTTTGCGACCAGCATGGATCCAGACCAGCCTGCGCTTCCGCGCAGTCTGATCAGGATCCATGCTGTTCGCTTACCAACTCTATTACAAGTAGAGAAACTGATAGCGAACAGCATGGATCCTGATCAGACTGCGCGGATGCGCAGGCTGGTCTGGATCCATGCTGGTCGCAAACACACTATGTTGGTTTTGTCGTGACGCGGCTCATTTCGAATCTTTAAATTTATTCTAGATACCACAAAGATCCAGTTAGTGATTAATTGGCTTTCCCAATCGCTCTTTTTCATGGTGAAAGGTTGGTGGTGGGGAGCACAAACTTTATTGAACATTATTTGAAAACTTTTTAAAGTGGATTGGTCTACAATGGGCATTTTCCCGTAGTTAAAACAATAGAATTGTATTATTTGGATAATCTTATAAAATATAACCGATAAAGTTCTAAGTGATTTAGTATAAACATTTAAATGATGAATAATAATATTTTGTTATAGAAAATTTTATTATCTGCTATATAAATACTGGATTGTGTATCTCAAACTTGCCAGCAACACCAATACATGTCACCATTCATGTCCTTAAAGGTTATTATCTGCCAAAATGTAACCTATAAATTTTGAATTCGGCAATTCACTGAATGATACTAAATATGTATGCAAGTCGAGAGAGAGAAAATAAAATAAAGATCAATGTTTATTTATTCATATCATATGATGTCACAAATAAAAATACATCAATCGATACGTCATGACGTTCTGTTCATCTTTTCAGATATGTCATTTTCAAAAGAAATGTTTGTTACATGTTTGAATATATCATTTACTAGTTTTGAATAATGTTCCAACTGATCTTCGTTCGTTACACTGTTCTCAAGAATGTTTTTATCTGTTAACGTAATCTTTATTTCAATAGCATTGTCATTATCGAGATCTATAAATAAACTTTTCTGCTTCTTGCATTTGGCCGTTCCATCTTCGTATTGTTTTCTACTTGAAAACCTCCGCCACATATCCGATGCTTTATTTTCTATTATAATATCATTGTAAATAGAGTAAACACTTTGGGTATATTGGTGATCAGTATTCTCGGATTTGTCTGTATCCAAAATGCTTCTCTCGCGTTTCAGAGGTTTTCTGTTGATAGTGTTAGTCTGAAAATAAATTATTTTCATGCTCATTAATGATATGTGTAATAAATCGTACAGAAATATACAAACAAATATATGTATGCAATAGATAAAAACAGAATCCCTAAAGAAAGCCCAACACGGCAAAATTGTTAAATGTTGCAGGCTCGGTTTGATTGAGCCTGTTCATGGACGCAAGCATTTCTAAAGAAATATATTTGTGAAATACTGAATGCAGTTAATTAATTACCATTCATCAAAAACTAATGTTCATTGTTACGAATGTCAGCTAAAGGCAATGACTGATTATTTAAAAATATTTTTAACCGTCACCACACATGTGTAGAAAAACTAGTTTTGAACCTTTTAAACGAAAACAAATCTCAAAGTCTGGTAAAAAATGTTCAAATTATCATTCATTGTCTCAAAATGGTTAAGAAGACTGATCTATTGGAACAGGTCATACCTTTCTTTTAAAACCAACATTGATGATTACTCCAGACACGGCACAGATGAACGCAAAGCCAAACATGACCAAAAATACATAGGGCCAGTTGATATTCACACTATTATCTTGTCTGTAAAAAAAAGAAATACAATTATTTTATTATTTTACAATTACACGATAATGAGAACATTTATGGTATATAATTCACCCCTTAAAGTTCATTTATGAAAATCAGGATTGGTTTTAAATTCAAAATGACAAACAAATATATATTTTAGAAAAAAAAACAATGTAAAATATAAAACAAACACACTTCTGACCAACAAAAAACCGGACGTTAACCAAAAACCCGCAAGCTTGTCCAGCGTTCATTTTAGGACTCCTCATTTTCGATTTTCGATATAAATGAAAATGAAAATTTAGATTTAATCTATGAGCAATGTAGAGCTTGGTTTCAGCAGGGTAATGTTGATAAAGATTAACACACTTACGTTTCTCCCTTTGATAATAATCGACCAACAAGAAGATTTGTACTTCCGACAGTTAGATCAAGCATGCAAGATGCGATTCCATTGGCTGTTCCAACAGCTGAATGGGGTACAACATGAGGTATTGCTGACCACAATGCAACCTGTCATTATTTTTTTTTAACTTTACATCTTTAGCATTTTTAAAAAATCTACATGTGTTTTGTATTTATCGCATTCGACACAGAACGTTTACATATCAATTATTACCATATTATTTTAAATATCCTTTAAATGTCTTACTAGTACTTTTAAGCATCCATGGATGTTTATGACCAGCCTTATTACTAGTAATAATGCTGAAATCCCACAAAATCAGTATACCAGCGGCCATGAACAAATGGCAACAATGAACGACAAAATACTCAGAGCCTGTAGGTATTTCATTTTTGTTTGACTACATTTAATGGTCCCCAAACATGTTTTTATACAGCTGAAATATTGCACGCTGTGTAAACTTTCTTTTGGCCTTTATATGATGAATGCACCAATCATTGTCTTTAAACATGCTAATCCTTTTGACATTCATGCTTGCAAAAAGCATAGCAATTTGTCTATATTAAAAGTTTTAAACAGTTGTCTCATATTGTTTAAAGAGTTTTGAAAATTACTGATCCTATATACAATTGATGTAAATTACGTATGTAACTTACGACAGTAGCTGTAAACATGACGCCTATCCATATATATACTGGTAAAGGGGGCACATCTGTATACAAAAGTATTGGTCCCATTGGTAAAGTCAGGATGGCTCCTAGGAAGGCTACCCAACCTCGCTTTCCAAATCTATCCTACAATTTTTATTACAAATAAATCACGTATTCTCAGACTAGTCTCAATACGACTCTGAGAGACTGAATGAAAAGTATTCAATTTTCAAATTTCTAGATGGTCGCTACAAGCAAATGATAGCTTTTTATTTTATAATTTTAAACGTAAAACAGCTGACAAGTTCAGAGACTGGTAAACTTAATTTCATAAGGCATATAACATATTTGAATTGCTTTATAAAATTGTAATTTAAATATAAGCCGCGCCATGACAAAACCAACATAATGGGTTTGCGACCAGCATGGATCCAGACCAGCCTGCGCATCCGCGCAGTCTGATCAGGATCCATGCTGTTCGCCTACAAACCCTATTACAAGTAGAGAAACTGATAGCGAACAGCATGGAGCGCGAATGCGCAGGCTGGTCTGGATCCATGCTGGTCGCAAACGCACTATGTTGGTTTTGTCATGACGCGACTCATATGTTAACTTACGAGCAGAAGACCAACAAATGGAGAAATGACGACAGAGACATCGTATATAACACCATTGATGTACGACGAGTCAGTTTTCGTATACCTATACTTCTCACGTATATATTTACTGAAACATAAAGTTAATATTTCAAACCAAAGTAGTAAATGCTCCGAGATGTAGGCATATGCAATGTTAAAAAAAAAGATTGTGTGCCTTAATTCTGACAACCAATAGATCTGATTATGGTCAATGTAGTAACCAAAGTATTTAAAATCAAAATGTATGTCCTATTTTAATGTTAGTGTCGATTTGGTGAACATTGTAATACATGTATTCTTAATAGAAACTATAAAGAATAAACATTTTTAAAAGATTATTGCTTCTTTTTATGTTTTAATTGTCGCAAAGCTTATTATAGCTAAAAGTGTTATATGTCCGGTGATGTAAAATAACAGGACAAAATTAAGAGTCTTGCGTCTTTATATTCCATCAAATTTCGAATATTTTATGTCCGGCAATTGTAAAATGCCCTAGTACACGTGCGACATATAATTTGGGTATCTTATTCATCTGACTTTTTTAGGGGACGTCCGTGGCAGAGTGGTTAAGGTCGTTGACTTCAAAATACTTGCCCCTCACCGCTGTGGGTTCGAATCCCGATTCTTTCATGTGAGGAAGCTATCCAGCTAGCTTACGGAACTTCGGTGGTTCTACTCAGGTGCCCTTTCGTGCCTGAAAAAATGCACGGAGGGGCACCTGAGGTCTTCCTCCACCAGTAAAGCTGGAACGTCGCCAAATGACCTATACTGTGTCGGTGTGACGTACGTATACCCAAATCAAACAAACAAACATCTGACATATCTAACAAATATCCGACAAGTTATTCGTTATTACAGTTCATTTTATACCTTCCGTTGGCAGTAAATGGTAGTTGAAAGCTGTAATATGTAGCTATCATTACACTGATCAGCCAAAATGATCTTGGTAGCTGTTTGATTGTAGATATATTCTGGAAGAAGTATAGGACAAAAATAAACAATAAGAAACACATTAATCAACTTGTTGTTGTTATGATAGTGAAGAGTAAATAAGGGGTCTATGTCTGATTTACATTAAACCTTACTTGTTTATTCAAAATACTTATCTATTAATTTGGATTAAAATTAATGATGTAAAATGGTTTATCAAGTACATTTTTTGTGCTTTTAAATACATGTGTTGTTAAATTGTTACAAAATCTAGAACGTAAAACTTACATGATGTAAACAGTATTCAGATATCTAATTTTGCGGTAATATATCACGTAGAAATAATGTCAAAAATAAGATAAGTTTATGAAAGTTGATAAGTTCAATATAATATAAGATATTTGTTAAACAGTGCAATCATTTGTCCGTGGTCAGAAATTTGCTGGGGCTCAAGGGCAACCATGATGGGCGTTCTTAAAAACGTATAAAATTTTCATCTTGGATAAAATACTTTTATTGCAGAAATTTATTAAAATATAGTAAATTCTTCCTGAATATGTCAAATTTAAATAAGTGAATGTATAAACTATATAAACTTTGTTTGGGAAGTGCATTCTCTATTACTTGTTGTTCCCACTTTAGGCGGGGGGATTTAGATTTGCCCTTGTGCGTCCGTCCTTCCTTCGGTCCGTCCGTCGACCCGTCCCTCCGTTCTCATTTGTGTCGCAAGTAGCTCAAAAAGTATTTCACCTAGAGTCATGAAACTTGACAGGAATGTTGATCAGCATGTGTTATGTAGTTGTGTATTTAGTATTTTTAGAGTAATTGCCCTTGACTTAGTAAAAACCGTTTCATTATGTTGTGTTATTTGTTCCAAGAATGCTTGAGTTAGAATCAACCAACTTTACAGGAATAATGATCAACATCACTGTGGAGCTGTGCACCTAGGGTTTTGCATGTGGACATTTTCAGTTTTGTTAGAGTTATTGCCATTGACCAGGTATAAATGTGCAATTTACAACTTGTTCATGCATAGCGCAAAAAGTATTTGACCTGTAGGCCTGAAAGTTTACAAGAATGTTGGTCAGCATGTATACCTATGCAACTTTGGATTCACTTGTGGATTTATTCAGTATTTGAAAAGTTCTTGCCCTTTACTTAGTACTTGAAATATTTTTTGTTTTCAAATTGTGGCACATGTAGCCCAAAATATATTTGACCTAGAGTCATAAGATTGACAAAAACAGTGGAGTGTGGGGTCACACGTGTCCTATGTGGACACATTTCTAGTTAAATTACTTTGGTCTATTCTTATAAAAACTGCCATTTTTTTAATGTCACTATGTAAAAGCGTAACATATTTTCTCTGTGTGTATTCAAAAGATGTTTATTTTACATTTCAAAAGAGACTGTACGTATAGTAATTATCTTTATTCCAAACATATAGTTTGAGCACAATATATCTTTAAGACACCTAATTTTTGAAGTATCTTCCCCTCGTTGCTACAGGTTGAATTCAGTCAAAAGTGCCAGTTCGCGCCTGAAATAACGCACAAAGGGATATCTGAGCAAAAAGTGGTCATATGACCTTTAGTTGTTGTTGTGACCTTAAATTAAACAAGGATTTGCAGGACCTAGTGTTCGTAATTTTGCATGCCTGATCTAGGAATTAATGTATGAAGGAGTATTATTGAGACTAGAGGCCGGAAGTTAAACACTTACTGCAGCTGATATAGCTCGTATAGTGACCTTGGTGTCACTATGATGCCTGGTACCATACCAGTCGAGGTAGCACAGACATAGTGCTGAAATAAAACACGTGCTACACACACCTGCTCCTGAAATTAAAATCAGAGTATCTATCCCAGTGAATCCCTCTTAAATGAGTTAAACAAAATTGCTGAAGTATTAGGTGAAAACATGTTAAATAATAGAATTTCCTCATGCAATCAATTAAAGAAAAATGTATCAGGCTAGATAATTTATAAGATTCTATGTTAACGATTCTGTGACATGTAAAAGTCAAATGAAATGTTAAGCACAATGCCTTTTGCTTTTTAAAAAAATACATATAATCGTCCTCCCAGTCTTATAGTGCTTGGAATGGAATGGTTACATAGTCATTACAAATCTGTTGAAAAGTAAAAATGCGAAGAGACTTTGTAGTAATACGAGTACTTATATCTATTCTAATAACAATTATGGTAATAGCTACGAAGTGTTTTAAAGAGAAGTATTTGTGCATGATTGTCATGTGTAATTATGTAAATATCAAAGATCTTTTATACTAAGAGAGTGATGACGAATGTGGTATATGTAAGAATAGTTGATATTATTCCTTAGAATGGAACTGTAATTTTTCATGACAATATAATTATGCAATTAATAAAATGTGTACTACACCATAAGCCAAATAATCTCCCAAAGCACAGACATAGCTTTGCAGTAAAACAATAACACCACCACCACCACCAACAACAACAACATAAAAACCTGTTAAACTTACCAACAAATAGTGTAGCACTTAAACCTATCCACTTAGCAATGTTTGAGGTCAGTAAAAAAGTTAAAACACTTCCCAGGCCCATTGTTGACACTGCGATACCGAACGCTAGGGCAAGTCTATCTGGAAACCAGCTGGCTATAACACGGTCTCGCACAACTTGTAGCAAAAGAAGCAAAACAAGTGATAAAATGTAAAAATAATATTGAATAAACTTTATGGACAAAGCACTTGTTCTAAACATACAAACTTATCTCTGTACTATGATGTAACATCTTTTATGAAGATTTTCTACAATATTAAGTTCTAGTCATTAATTAAGTTTATAACATTCAAGTTGAATTTCAGGACATTATTTCGTATTACCAAGAATTGTGACAACAACATACATGTCATTATATGTTTTAACATTTTGTCAATATTTTGTCATAAAATATCGTGGAACAGAGAATCTATTTGTTGATACATGTACTTGATTATAGCAGACACCATGAAATAAATCAAAATGTACATGTATTTCGAAATATGCAGAGAAAATTGAAAATGATGGAAAAGTAAATAACCGGAGCAACAATAGAGGGTCAATGCATCTTTTTGTGTGCCTTAACATTTGCATTAGAACCAGGAGGCAAGTAATGCCCACCCTCGCCCTTTGGGCTCGGGATTTAATAAATCTAGAGGAAAAAAATATTTTAAAATAAGAATTGAATTCAAATAAATAAGATTGAATATAAAACAACAACAACAACAACAAAAATGGTTTTTGTCATGCTTTTCACGTGCGAGTGCAATATCTTTTTGACTGTTTTGTTTTGATAATGACATTACCAGGACCTTCACATCGTCGCATACACATGGTTTATAAATGTTAATGGTTCGGTCGACGCGGGTTTCCGACGATGGGAAACTTACATGCTACATGGCACCGAGTCACACATAAAAACGTGCAAAATAACGGCGGGTGCTCGAGTGATTTATTCTTAAACGCATGTATTATACATCGTGTACGTTGTTTTATACAAGAAGATATGCTAAAAATATTTACTTCTGGAGGAGCCAGTACCCGCACCAATAAAGAGTCGACCAATCATCATCAGAGGGAACATAAGTGACGTGTTCCGAATACCGGGAACTGAACCAATGGCAAATAACAGGGAACCAGTGGTAGCGATACCAGTAAATAGAACCGCTGAGACTGGAAGAATATACAAATAAAACAATAATTTGGCTTTTTACAGCAAAACTGTCATGCAAAAACATTTTAATAGACATTTTCATTACAGTTACAACATTTTTTACAGATGAGCTCTTAAACCCAAACAACCGTATCAGCAAGTCATTTTTGTCACTTTTAATTGAGATACATAAAACTGAACCCTTACTCTGCTGGAATCGAAAGGGATTTCCATTTGTCACCAGAGAAGAGCCAGGCCAAAAAAGAGCCAGCTGACTAACTTTTAATTTCCATTTTAATATCTCCAAAACGGGTAATGGACAGTTCCAAATGTGGAAAATGTGCAAGTCTATTTTAGAAATACAGCAAGAATAATAATAAGAATATATTGAGAATTACCTACTTCTATTTCCCATCCGGTCAATTACAAAACCAACTGGAAGAATCATTACGGAACTTCTGTAGACGTAAAAGAAACAAAAAAGTATGAACTAGAGCCTGGAATGGCATTGTAAAAAAGAACACAATGAGTTTAGACGAAGGCGTCATTTTCTCTTTTAAGAAAAACTTAGTGTCCTTCGCTTTGGTAAATGTACTAGTATGCATAATACAACTTAAATGTTAATGAATTGTTAATCATTATAACACATAAGTCATGAAAGTGTTGAAAAAGGGAAAACACTATTACCAAAAAATGGTCATACTGTTTATCGTGTTTATCTATGTACCAGAATAGTTCGCAAAAACTCTTTGTACGAAATCTGAATACCGTTCCCATTTTATTTATTTACTTCCTACTTTAATTGAGGTTAGCACAGTTAGCTTATCTATTGAACCACAACTTACTTTAATTGAAATGAATAAAGGCACATTATTCCTCAGTAACAAATAATGTTTTCTATCTTTAGGAATGGCAGGAATGAGATGGTATATGTTTAAATAATGGTTTTAGGGCATGTTACATGCTTATCATCTGAAGAAAGTTCGGAATATAAAATTATTTTGTCACAACTGACAAAATGTAAACAAAGTAGTATAATTGCTAAAAAGCAACAGAAGCAAAATATGGTTTAAGTAATTGGCTAATTAGTAATTTTTTGGAAGCTATAACAGGACACCAAAAAACATGGCTTTTGGAAAACACATATCTGCGGCACAATTGACCTTTAAGAAACAACTATAAACGCACTGATATTACTATTGTCACCCTTATTTTATATGCCATAACGTTAAGAGAGGTTATATACACTTCTTTCGCAAGAATCACACGACATTTCGTAAATGCTCCTTTTAACGAACAACTTAATAAGTAATAAATATTCTGAATTGAAAGAACCAAATATAGATATGTATATAAATTGACCAATTAAAACAGTTTACTTACGTCCATGAGTATACAGTGTACAGCAGGTTATATTGGGTAGCGCCAAGTCCAAGACAATCAATGCAACACGTACTGTTTTCAGCGCCCTCCTCAGTGCAGTTGTCGCTTGATGGCATTTCAATCTGGGATTGCAGTGCACTTGGAATATCCGTGCAGAAATATATCCCAACTACCAACATACAGTCGAAAATCAAAAGGATATATCGTCCATTCCCTGTAATGAATTGGTGTCTTAAAATAAATATTTTTCGACGTGAAATTCATACTCTTTCTTCAGCACACATGTTACGTTTTTCTTTCTTTTAAATTCCCCTTCCGCTGGCTTTTTGTGAAATGTTATGGAACGTAATAATCATTATACTTTTAATTTGCAATAGTATGCATGGGTAACTGACCAAAGAATGCTGTCAATGACGCAATAATTATTCCATATCGACGGCTTCTTTACTAGTCGAATTAACCATTGCAGCTTTGATTTCGATTAATATTTAAAAAGTAAACAAATAATACATGAAATAAAACCATATGATACTCCCCTAACTTTTCGTATTATCGTATTACTGTACTCACATGCCATTATTATTTATTATGAACACTCTAGAAACCAAACAACAAGTCGTTTCTTCTATTACGTCTTGTTAGACTATCGTACTCTTAATACAATTAAGGTTACACCAACCTTTAATTTGTTTTTATAGTCCGCTAGCTATCTTGGTCATGACGACACTATTTATAGAACTGTGGCCTCAAAGAGAATCTGTTTTGTATATACTATATAACGACCTATATAAGATAAAATTTCCCACACCCACATTTAGTCTTGTGCCGTTGCTATTCATAAAGAACTCCACTGCAATGCCAATTTGTGAAGCAGTTAAATGTATGCGGTGTTTATTATGATGCTGTTTATGTTGTACAGTTTTAAATTACTGTGACAATGTTTAATGACTATTTTATACTTCATTCATGTAGTTAAGTATGAAATATGTCCTTTGTCAATCAAATATGTCAACCAACCTGCTACAGTCTATTTTTGCCATTGACAGTCTGGATTCCTGATCAGCTATGTTTGTACCTTTAAATAGGTCAGTAACCCATTCCTTTATTGCTCAACAAATTGAAACATGCGCAATTTCAATCAAATCTGCCAGTCTTTAAAAACATTCGGGTCTTTCATAATGGTTAAAATACAAAATCAATAAAAGGAACATTATGCAAAAAACAACATTTAAAAAAAAATCTTTAGAAATGTCAAAGATGTGTTTTATAATGTTTTAATAATGGATTAAGAGCATGTTACATGTTTAACAACTGATGGAAATAGTGTTGAACATACAGTTGTGTGTCGTAAAGGTAGCAATAGGTAATGAAAGTAGTATTTTGACTTCCATACAAAATAATAATTACTATTATTATACCAATTGCCAACAATACAAAAGGAGAAAAGATAGCATTTCTGAGGCATAATGTGCCTTTAAATATTAACAAATATATATCTAGACGTTTCTTTAATCAAGCGCATTTTAAAAAAAAGAGAACTTTATTAAGAATTTGATTTTGTTTGAAAAACAATTAATTATTCCGTTAGAGTTGATTTTGATGATATATTGATGGTTTTCTAAACCTGTATTTCGTTTCAGGAACAGGCAAAACAATCATGTATCTGTATTTAAGTTTGATATGGCTTTCAAATGGTTTAGTAACCAGTAGACTGTTGGGCAGGTACTGAATATACCCAGCGACCAGTGCTGACCAAAATCATGGTCTGCACTGTTCGCCTTTCATTCCGTACATATTTTGGAAAAATCCCAAAAATGTTGAATGGTTTTATCAAGATTGAAAATTAGACAATTATTTTAAAGATAGTTAGCGAAGGAAGGTTTAAAGGGTAGAAAGAATAATGAGCAGTATGCCTTATAGGTGGCGTAGCTTCATATAAGCCATGTAGGCCACAGCATACATCTTTTCCATGAATGTAAAACATAAAAATAATTAATAATCGTTCTGCAATTTCTAATATAATCCTTTGGACCTGTTTATTGCACTATATACAAACCAATACACACTCTGACAAAACAATCGAGATGGGTGCCCCGTAGGAGTCGGACTTCACATAAATTTAGACCAAAGTACGTCCTACCTTGTGGTACATGTTATCTTATTCTGTATTAATTAAAGAATTATATGACCTCGAAAAAGTTATCGTTTGAATCTTTATTGTAAAAAATGTACTGACTGAACGACATTGGCCTTAATGACCCCATACATAAAAATAAAAGTCCCGTATATAGCATGTCCACAGATAAATCCCATTATGGTGTGGGTGGTGAAGGTTGTCCTATCCTAACCTTATCTTTCCTGTACAAAATAGATTTTGCGGATTAGAATATTCACGAAACTTATATTACAAAAGGCTGATTTTCGTTTGTTCATATTAAAAATTAGGGCTTTAAAATGGTTTAGTAACCATAAGTATGTTGGCAGCTGCTGAATATACCCAGTCATCAACATCATCATCATATTATTATTATTTTATTATTATTATTATTTATTATTATTATATTATTATTATTATTATTATTATCATCATCATCACCAAACTTGCGCTAAACACAAATTACAATTCAACATAATTATATTGGCCTAGTGGTAGGAGTTAGGAGGTATATATATATATAGTATGCAAGCAAAAGGTGTCTCATAAGTCAGAAATGGCTGGCCCTTTCAGTAGGGGTGACACTATTATAAACAAGACCTTTACCTTTACCTTATATATCAACAGTCAAAGACAATTGAATACATTAATTACTATATAGGACACATTAATTGACGGTCGTAATAAAGCGAATTAAGTCACGGTTTAAAGTTTAATCAGATGTCATAGAAAATGATCCAAAATTCATACCGTATACAGAGTGCGTTACCAAACTGATGATAAAAAGTAAATGACCTTTTTTTCGTGTATATGACATATTTGACATTGTACTGATTATATCCCGTAAAGGTTGTTTCTGTAATATTTTATTACATGAATACAATTTTACCATTAGACACGCATAGTCATAAACTTTACAAACATGCAGACGTTTTAAACAATTATTATTTTATTGTTAGCCCTCCCGTAAATGTACTTAAATTTTTAAAATAATACAGATTCTGCCTCTTTTTACATGAATAAACTTTATTCCAGCTAGTGCTGTACATAATCATAATTCCAGGTTTAGTAAACTGTCTTGCTTCAGAATTCCTAAAGTTAAAGGGTTTGGTAAAAAGTATTTTCCCTACAATGGTTGCTCCCTGTGGAATAAACTATACTATAAGATATAAAGAATTCGACCAATCTGCAAAACTTCAAGATTTCTGTAAAAAAATCTTTTAACTAGAGTGTAGAACTTTTTTCCATGCCGTAAATATTTATTTATTTCTTTTAGATCGCACATATAAGTCTCCTTGACTAATTAAAATGTAATTCAAAGTTCTTGTGTCTTGCTAGGACATGCCATTATACATCCTGGACCACAATGGAAACAAGAGGATTCACACTAATTTTTATGTGTGTAATTCTGGGTATATAAATACTTTTCCTTGTACAGCTTTTCATTTTATTAATAACTTTAGTTTAATCATATTTTATTGCTATATACATGTATATACAATACAGATACAAATTTCATATGTATTTTAAACAGCAAAAGCAAACGGGTTGGGCCCAAGTTCTTACAACATTAGCGGTCGGCCCTCCCCGGTAGATAATGAAACGAAAAAACTATATTCAATACTTAATGGCATATAACATAAACATAGTGTATATCATGTATAATTGTTGATGGAATGAATCGTAAGAAACGATTTTTAACAATATACAATAAAGTAATCGAACAGATAGAAATCAACGTTCGTGTATTTTATAAATTTATAAATATGGATGATCTAAGGATTCAGTATAACCTACCCCCTACCCCCACCCCTAAGTGGCACGGGTTTCGTTAAGGCTGTTATGTGCATTTACTTTATATTGGGTACAGGGTATTTGTAATTACTTCTTATATAATATTCTAAGTACATGTATAACTGATTACAATAAAGGTTTAATGAATAACTTATAGGTATTTGATATCTTTTATATAAAGTCAAAATGATTGATATTTTAGACTTACAGTAAGGTTTTACTTTATAGTCATAATTAGTTTTATTTTATTATTTTTTATATATTTTTGTAGTTTCACTCATGACAATAATTATGTGATATTTATCATGATATGTCGCGAATTTATATACTGTTTCAAAATTTTAGCGAAACATAAAAAAATATCTTTCAATCCAATTAAAGTACGGCATTTTACAGAAATTAGCATAGTATGAGATACTTCCGGATCAACAACAACGTAACATTTTTATAGTTTTCAACCATACACAATTATTTGACGTGCTGGTGTATCAGGTAAAATCTTCAGGTAAAGAAATCATTTGTGTTTAACAATATTTCCCAAAAAGAAACTATTTACGGTCATGTAAATGATTGTAGTCATCCGTCTGTAAGTGCAATAGTTTTCGGACAAGCATTTGTTCAGTTAATCTTGCTCAACACTCGGGCATTTTGTTTCATTTTTATTAGTTTAAGTTTTGTAATGATGAAAATAATGTTAATTTTTATTTTCTGTAAATAAACTAGAACAGAACTACTATCTAGTACTTGTGAACTATATATGGTCGTATATATTAAAGTACTTATTTCTGGGGCCTAATATTTTGTGATTTTTGTTAAAATAGGGGTTTTTAAATTTTGTGTATGTTATTTGTGGTGGCATCATTCTCCCACTGATGCATTTTATTTCTGCGTTTAGATTAAGATATTTGTACAACATTAACCAATATAAAGAGACAACATTTCATGATTTGTTGATGTTACATTACTGCCGATTAAAAATGCAGAGGACTGATAATGTGTTACATCGTAAACATCATGTATCAGTATATACTCATTAATAAACAAATAATCAACAACATGCAATGATAATAAACAAAAAAAACAACAATAAGTTACATGCAATGACAACAATTTTAATACTGTATGTGTAAAAATATGAAGTGTGAAAAATAAACAATGGCAAAATCTTATGTACATGTAAATACAAAAGGGTATGTTTATTGCAGGTTTTATTGACAATGACAAACTATGGTAATTTTGCACTAAGTCTTTGATAATGATTTTTGTGTCGCCTCTACGGAGTAGTACATATAGGGATCACTTCTCCGTCGTCTGTCTGTCCGTCCGTCACAAAACTTGTCCGGACTACTCCTCATAAACTACTGGTGCAATTTCATCCAAACTTTACAGGAATGGTCAGTACCAAGTCTAGTTGTGCATATTGTCAGCATTTTTGCCGGTTCAATGATTTTTGTCAGAGTTATGGCCCTTTAATAATTTTTATTTTTAAAGTTTGTCCGGACTACTTCTCTTATACCACTAATGCAATTTCAATGAAACTTTACAGGATTGATCTGTAGCTCAAGTCCTTGCGCATATTGCACGGGTTTTCCGGTTGATTGATTTTTGGCCGAGTTATGGCCCTTTGTTTAAAAGGTGTTTTTTTTCTGAGGTTGCCAGATACACAAAAGCTTGTCCGGACTACTCCTCATAAACTAATGGTGCAATTTCATCCAAACTTTACAGGAATGATCAGTACCAAGTCTAGTTGTGCATATTGTCAGCATTTTCCGGTTCAATGATTTTTGTCAGAGTTATGGCCCTTTTATAATTTTTATTTTTAAAGTTTGTCCGGACTACTTCTCTTATACCACTGATGCAATTTCATTGAAACTTTACAGGATTGATCTGTAGCTCAAGTCCTTGCGCATATTGCACGGGTTTTCCGGTTGAATGATTTTGGCTGAGTTATGGCCCTTTGATAAAAAGGTGTTTTTTTCTGTGTGTTGCCAGATACACAAAAGCTTGTCCAGACTACTCCTCAAAAACTACTGGTGCAATTTTATTCAAACTTTACAATAATGATCAGTACCAAGTCTAGTTGTGCACTGTCCGTCTGTCTGTCTGTCACAAAACTTGTCCCAACATGAAATTGGCCATTATGAGGCGACAAGTGATTACTGATCGCTCTTGTGTTAAAAATATTTTAAGATGAGAAAATTAAAACAGCGGTATAAGCAATGATATAAACCGGATGCAGTTAATAATTTCAATTGCAACGATATTGATAAACAATATAAACTTTCTCTTTGGTGTCATTCATTCTGTAAGGCTTTTATAATTTCTGTGGCTATTTTCCTTTTTATGGCTAAAAAGAACAGTAGAGTAGCTACATAAGTACTGCCTTGTTAGAATGTCTGTCTGTCTGTCTGTCACAAAACTTTATAGTTATTCATACTCAAAAACTACTGGTTTCAATTGAGTATGAATAACTATGATAAAGTTCTACAGTGGTGATTTTACTTTACCAAGTACATACATATTGTTACAATTACATTTGTGACAATTATTTTTGGACACATACAGCTTATATTAAAGTGATACTGATATAAATTTTTCCTTTCTTGATATATGGGACATAAATTATTTTGTGATATACATGTTGTTATTCATTTGTAAGTATACATTCGAAATCAGTTACTTACAAATATTGAGGAATTTTTAGCTCGCTTGAGCACAACTGCTCAAGGTGAGTAATGGACCTTTCCGGTTTTTCGTAGCGGAACATTAAGCCACACCTTTTCCATTCATTGCTAGGTCAACTGCTCACAAACAGTATCACAAACAAAACCATGTGTTCTTTTGTGCAAACCAGGTCAACCAGTGACTATGTACTATCTCAGTGTAGCAATTGGATAACAAGTAAGCCAATTTACATTAAGTCTGTAAACAGCGGAAAGGTCCATTGGGGTCACACTGTGTTTGGTGTAAGTCATCAGCATTTTACTGCAAATGACATTTAGTAATAATCCTGTTTTCAAAAATAGGAAGTAAGAAATTGTGTAAACATCTCCTTCTCTTAAATAATATAAATGATTCAGTTTCTTGGATGATGCTCTACAAATATAGCTAGAATTGTCTGCTTAACATGATGGTAGCCAGAGATAAAGATAAGCTGCAAACCAAAATCATTTCTGATCAGATTTTGACAAACCTCAATAGGACTGACCCTAAGGTGATCCTGTACAATACATCCTGCTCAGAGCTAGAATTAAAAAGGTAGTTTTTAATAAAACTCGAAGGAATGATCCTTTAATGGTTGCTAAACAAGATGGCTGCCGGAGCTAAAAAATAGAAACAATTTTTAAATCAACTGGCTGGATATAAATATAAATTACAGGCTAAAAATAACTTAGCTTTGAACTTAATTTCCTTTACAACTGCTTGGTAGATTTTGATAAAACTCAAAAGGGATAATCCTTGGATAGCCCTCCACAAAAAAGAGTGAACATCGTTACTGTCTGACAAACAGGATGGCATTTGATGAAACACAATAGAATTGGGATTATAATGAAGTCATGATCGGAAATTTATATAATGTGGTGAGCGATCAGGAGTCAACACAGCCCTCTTGTCTATATGAAAAATCACTGCAAGGCATTTTAGTGGTTACATAATTATTGAATTTCAATAAAAAGTGTGGTTAATGTGTATATTTTAGTTAATTTTGTAATATGTACATTTTGCTAGATATTTAGAAAAGTGTGAGGCAGAGTTGGAAAATATATTTGTTTAAGATTTAAATGTTTGTACATTTAAATTGTGACTAAAACATTGAATATATTTAAAAAGGTGGAAATTTTCATAATGATATATCTTTAATGTACAAGACTAAACTTTACAAAATTTAATTTTTGACATACTTTATATCCCTTAAAATAGATTAAACAAAGCCTATAAGGCTGTCTGTTAAGCACTGTGCTTCTTTTTATGCCACCGCAATCTGCGATGCGGTGGGATATAGCGATTCACCTGTGTGTGTTTGTGTGTGTGTGTGTGTGTTATATAGATTATATAGTGAACTTAAAAAATCTTCTTGTGAAAAACTATTAGTCCAATTTCAACCAAACTTGGCAGGATTGTTCCTTGGATGAAGGGCTTCCAAAGTTGTTCAAAGAATTTCATTCCATGCAGAAATCAGGTTGCCATGGCAACCAAAAGGAATTATAAGAATAAATTTAAGAAATCTTCTTTTAAAGACCCAAAAGGCCTAGAACTTAGATAATTTGCATAAGGCATTGTCTGGTAGACCTCTAACAAGATTGTTCAAATTTTAGCCCTGGGGTCAAAATTGGCCCCGCCCCGGGGGTCATTGATTTTCACTATGTACATATAGTAAAAACTTTAAATACCTTCTTGTAAAAACCCAAAAGGCCTAGAGCTTAGATATTTTGCATCAGGCATCATCTGGTAGACCCTTACCAAGATTGTTCAAATTATAGCCCTTGGGTCAAAATCGGCCCGCCCCGGGGTCATTGATTTTCGCTATATGTACATATAGTAAAAACTTAAAACACCTTCTTGTAAAGACCCAAAAGGTCTAGAGCTTAGATATTTTGCATAAGGCATTGTCTGGTAGACCTCTACCCAGATTGTTCAAATTATAGCCCTGGGGTCAAAATCGGCCCCGCCCCAGGGGTCATTGGTTTTCCTTATATGTATATAGTAAAAACTTAAAAAAAATTCTTCTAGCAATTGACAAATGCTAGAGGTTAGATATCTTGCATGAAACATTGTGTTGTAAACCTCTAGCAAGATTGTTCAAATTATAGCCCTGGGGTCAAAATTGCCCCCGCCCTGGGGGTCATTGATTTCAATATATACATATAGTAAAAAATCAAAGCTTAGAGCTTTAATATTTGTTAAATAATATCATCTAAAGGTACTCTACCAAAGTTGTCCAAATTTTGCCTCTTGTGTCAAAATTAGCCCCGCCCCTGGGAGCCATAGGTTTATCTTATATGTATATAGTTAAAACTTAAAAAATCATCTTCTCTAAATTTACAAAGGATAGAGTTAGGATATTTTGCATGAAACATTGTGTAGTGAACCTCTAGCAAGATTGTTCAAATTATAGCCCTGGGGTCAAATTGGTTCCGCCCCGGGGGTCATTGATTTTCATTATGTACACATAGTGAAAAAAAAAATATATTTTTGTCTGAAGGTTCAAGGCATAGAGCTTTGATATTTGATATATAATATCATCTATAGGTCCTCTACCAAAGTTGTTCAAATGTCAAAAATTGGCACTGTTCGGGGGCAGTGATTCTCATTATGTACACATATTAAAAACAGAAAATAAAACAAATGTTTTCTGAATGGGAGAAAGCTATAGCTTAGATATTTGACTTGAAATGTTGTTTGGTGGACCTGTATCAAGATTGTTATTAAACCCTTGGGTCAAAATTATGCCTTGCCCAAGGAGACAGTGACCTACTTTCTTGTCCTTTGATGTACAGCAATGAAATTTTGACCATGTGCACAGTTTAAGTTGTAAAATTGAACTTTGACCTAGATTTTGATGATGTGACCTACTTTCTTGTCCTTTGATGCACAGCTATGAAATTTGAACCATGCGGTGGCATAGCATTTTTCTCAAATGCAATCTTGTTTTCAGTTGTGGATATTATAATATTGAGTAGAATAGTGATTTTGATAGTGAACAAGTATGTGACAGTGAAGTTAAAAGCTTTAATAGTGTTTGAGAAATTAAACTTATTAAAAAGGTTAACAAGGGCAAAAAATTTTAAGTCAGAATTGGACATGTATTTACAGAATATATAATTTTATGATTATTTATCCTTGTGATATGGTGTCACATTTGACAATGAACAAGTATACCTAGTATAAAGTTAATAGCTTTGATAGTTTATAAGAAGATGGACTTTAAAGCTGCATGCCTCCAGATGTACCAGAATATTTCTTGAAAATCCAACTTGTGAAAAATGTACTTAGTAAATAGATACAAGATTCAATTCATAATATCCATGTTATGTGCGATTAATGATTTTGGCAGTTAAAGTATTTATCACCATATTTCTACTGGGAAATTAACATCTATTATTGCATATTTTTACCATTTTGGTAATTTACATGGACTGTAAATGCCATTTGCAATGTGTAAATTTTTTTTTCTTGAAAATAGCATGAACCTGGTGGCATGCTGCTTTAACCTATTATCTGTTATGCATAACAGTGACCTTGACCTGTGATGAGCATAAAGGAAAACTTGATGAAGGTAAACCAATGGCTACGCAGACAAGTGGGTCATGACAATACATTGTAGCTGTGCTTTTTCTTCAAAAAGTAGGGCTAAAAAGTAAATACCTATGATATTTTGCTTAGCTATGTTTCAATATTTCAATGTAGTTTTAGCATGAGGTACTGTAACCCTATGAACATTCTTGACCATATCAATATTTGTTTTGTTCATGCAAGGCAATTAGGCATGAAAATGATTTCGCGCAAATATGTCCCAGGATTTTACAAATTATTTGGTAAAAAAAATGTAATGTTATTTTGTCTGGAGATTGTTTACGCCACATGACCAAATATTGAAATCATATAGGCATGAGCAATGATACAACAAATAATTAATGCCATAAAGAATATAGTCTCAGTTATTGAAGATAGCTGAACGTTGCCCAAAAACAACTGTTTTGATGACCCCTCAGACTTGAAAATCAATGACTTTTTTTTTATAAAACTTAGAAAACGCGAAAATAAATATTTACAAATGTGTTGAACCTTTACTTGACAAGAAAATTTATATTCCACAAAGTAAATTTACGGTATCACATGTTTATTGTTCAAAAAAGTCTGTGAACCGTCATGATTTTTATGTGTATCAATTATATAAGTAAACTATTTTGAATATATTTTTTACAGTAGAATGGTAGAGAAGAAATAGTTTAAACTATGGTGTAAACAGTTAAGTTCAGGATTATATAGAAGCTTTGATGATGGATATTGAGAGGGCTCCTAGATCTGAATTGCTCAAGACGATAGAGCAGCAAAAAGAACTTATTCAACGTCGGGAGCAGCGACTTAGAGGTAACTGAAACTCTAAACAATGCCTTTTTCATGATAAAAGTTGTAGAAGCTTAAGTTGTATTATAGTCAGTTGGTCACATACTTTTTATTTGCTTGAAATTGGCAAAATAACTTTTCCTATTTGATTTTGAGTTTAAAGTTGAAGTATCAACTTTATTTTACATGTACTTGGATTATATGGAATGAATTAGAAATAATGAGCTGCAGTACCTTGATATTTTTTTTCATCTTCTTCATTTGTTTATTTTTATAACCCAACATATACAGTGTATGTTTTTCTTTTAAATTAAACCATTATATTTTTTACTCTAATCCTTTTTTTCTAAAAACTTAATACACTATATACAGATTGATTCTATTTTTATTTTATGCCTATCCAAAACATAGTTTATTGTAACTTCTGTTTGTAATTAAGTTCACATATGGACCTTTCCGGTGTTAACAGTTTTATGTAAATTGGCTAACTTGTTATCCAATCGCTACACTGAGATAATACATAGTCACTGGTTGACCAGGTTTGCACAAAAGAACACATGGTTATGTTTGTGATACTGTTTGTGAGCAGTTGACCAAGCAATGAATGGAAAAGGTGTGGCTAAATGTTCCGCTAAGAAAAAACGGAAAGGTCCATTTAAACCTTTGATGATGTTTTGACTTACTGAGAGGTAAAGAAACAGATTGTGACCTGTTACTGTATGATTAATGCCAGTCTTGTGTTTGTATATAAAATCTACTATGCTGTATTAATTAAGTTTGGCCGAATACATAAGGTCGCAAAGTATAAGTAAATATTTGTTTACCTGTTCAAGTGTAGAGTCTGTATATGTGTGGTTGCTAATTATAGTAACTATTATATAGATCATTTAGATAAGATTTGTCCATTTTTAGCTCGACTATTCGATAAGAATAAGTAGAGCTATTGCAGTCACCCGAGCGTCGGCGTCGGCGTAACCACTTATGTTAAAGTTTTTGTAATAGTTCAAATATTTTCAAAGTCCATAGACATATGGCTTTGAAACTTTGCACACTTGTTCACCATCATGACCCCAACCTGTAAACAGGAGGAGGTAACTCTATCAAGCATTTTGACAGAATTATGCCCCTTTTTCGACTTAGAATTTACGTTAAAGTTTTTGTAATAGTTCAAATATTTTCAAAGTCCATTGACATATGGCTTTGAAACTTTGCACACTTGTTCACCATCATGACCCCAACCTGTAAACAGGAGGAGGTAACTCTATCAAGCATTTTGACAGAATTATGCCCCTTTTTCGACTTAGAATTTACGTTAAAGTTTTTGTAATACTTCAAATATTTTCAAAGTCCATTGACATATGGCTTTGAAACTTTGCACACTTGTTCACCATCATGACCCCAACCTGTAAACAGGAGGAGGTAACTCTATCAAGCATTTTGACAGAATTATGCCCCTTTTTCGACTTAGAATTTACGTTAAAGTTTTTGTAATAGTTCAAATATTTTCAAAGTCCATTGACATATGGCTTTGAAACTTTGCACACTTGTTCACCATCATGACCCCAACCTGTAAACAGGAGGAGGTAACTCTATCAAGCATTTTGACAGAATTATGCCCCTTTTTCGACTTAGAATTTACGTTAAAGTTTTTGTAATAGTTCAAATATTTTCAAAGTCCATTGACATTTGGCTTTGAAACTTTGCACACTTGTTCACCATCATGACCCCAACCTGTAAACAGGAGGAGGTAACTCTATCAAGCATTTTTTTTACTATCAAGCACTAAGAATAGTCGAGCGTTGCTGTCCTACCGACAGCTCTTGTTAAGCTTGACCAACTTATTCAACCCTATTATAGTCATTGAACTTAATTAAGGACTCTTGTACATGTACTGTAAGGTCAAACATATTCTACGTGTAATACTATGGAGATGTTTTATTGTGCCCTGACCATATATGGGGAGGGGGGCATCCGTCCTTCTGCAATACTGAGTAGGGATAGGGGGCCATCTAACTGTAAACAGAACAAAAGAGAAAAATAGAATTCATTCCGTAACAATAGAAAAGGGGCCATGGCCCTCTTAAACAAAAGAAAATAACAAAAGAAATGGCCTTTTATCCCTTTTTCGGTCATATGTCTGTCCATCTGTTCTCATTTTGTGTCGCAGGTAGCTCTAAAAGTACTTGACCAAGAGTCATAAAATTTCACAGGAATGTTGCTTAGCATGTGTAGTTGTGCACCTGGGTATTTTGTTAGGATTTATTTAGTATTGATAGAGTTGTTGCCTTTGACTATTAAAATTTTCAACTTGTGTTGCATGTAGCTCGAAATGTATTTGACCTAGAGTCATGGAACTGACAGGAATGTTGATCCATAAATTCATCCCTTGTGGCTGAGAGGTTGCCTTTTAGGGTTGAGGCATCTGAACTGCACCCACCTTTTATCCCTGCAAGATCATGAGAGGTGACTAAATGGATTTTAATATCTATGCATCTCTTAGCTCCAGCAGATGAGGTGGTTTTGACCCCTGGTTAAGTTTGTAACACTGTAAAGTTCATAGCAAGTGATTGAACTAGATGTATTTGTCTAAATAGTATATTCTTAACTGCAGTTTTTTGGACCATTACTTCAGCATGTATGATTGAATTTCACTGTTTATTGGTACAAATGACTACCAATAGTAGATTAAATAGATCATATACATGTAATTTCTAGGAAATGCATTGATATTTCAGATGTAATTATTGCCTATAAGGGAGTATGTAAGGAGAAGGAGGCTCTTGAGTCTAGTATCAAGGTATTATCTCAGACCAAGTCAAGGGTACAACTAGACGTCCCTCATAGTAAAGGTCCATCATCAGACACTGCCAGTGATCGGGGTCAGGAATCTGACAGGGAGACTGAGGATGGGAGTACAGCTGATCACCAACAGATTAATGATCCACTTAATGTCTCAAACTCTAAAGTATGTGTTACCAGAGTAATAACCCATTTAATGTCTCTTTTAAGTCATTGTTTTTTTCTCTTCTGATAAAGTCTAGTATTTATAATGCTTTTTAATTTTCTTATTTTCAGTTAATTTTATTTTGGTAGATAAATAGTTAAATTCTTTTGTAACAGAATTACAACATAAATAATTATTAAAAATGTATATGATTACCATTTAAATGTATAGGCCAGTTGATAAAAATAATAACAACAATTATTTTTAATCCAATCCTACTCTTTTGTCCTTTACTGGTATGTTGTTACTTACAACACATTTTCTGTCGGAAAAGAAATGCCTTTCAATGAATTTTTTAAAAAGTGCTAGATATTCCAATGTCAATTTGAGCCGCGCCATGACAAAACCAACATAATGGGTTTGCGACCAGCATGGATCCAGACCAGCCTGCACATCCATGCAGTCTGATCAGGATCCATGCTGTTCGCTATCAGTTTCTCCAGACCAGCCTGGGCGGATGCACAGGCTGGTCTGGATCCATGCTGGTCGCAAACCCATTATGTTGGTTTTGTCATGGCGTGGCTCATTTATGTTTAACTTGATTATAGAATGTTGATGTTAGAGATGATGCCAGTAGTAGTGAGATAGAAGAGCTACAACAGCAAGTGGAGACTCTCTCAAACTCTCTACTCACTCTAACACAAGAAAAATCCAAGTTAGAGGCCTCCTATATAGCTGAGAAAAAAGTCATCAAGGTAACTCACTATAATTTTTGTTTACAAAATTAAATTAATAAGATGTTTTTATTCGATTCTCTAAATTTTTGTTGTGTTCAAGCTGACCTAATGCTATACTGCCAACCCCTTAATTTTAATTAGCATTTCATTATTCAAATTCTTTGATCGCACAATGTACAGTTCATAATTCAAAAGACGATTAATCAGCAAAAGAAAATTAGCTTGGATAAAATTTAAGGAATAACCATTTTATGACAGAAAATTAAAGATTTCAAATTTTAAGTGCTATACACCTTTCCTTAAATGATGGGTCTTCAATTTTAGATGGACTGTAGATATTAGCATGTTAGGAATTCAAAAGTTAACATTATTACTGACAAATTTATCACATAAGTTTTCAAATTTCAAGGTTATGTTTACTGTTTTTTTTATGTTAAACCAAAATATGATATAGGATATTTATCATTTTAATAACAAATTAAATTTTCATTTTCTAGTTAATTCTTTTTTAAAACAAAATCACAAATAATGTATTTTAGCAAGAAAATGAAGAACTACAGGAGAAGGTGAAGAATCATGCAGCAAAAATTGAAAAATTAGAGCATGATAATCAACAACAACAGCTGGAGGTATTTTATTTATATTATACTTTCTTTGGTAAGATACACCCTCCGATGACCATGATTCCATACCCATAGCATTTTTTAGCTGGACTATTTGAAGAAATTAAGAGAGCTATTCTACTCACTTGGTGTCAGCATCATACTTTTAGTTAACAAGTTGGTATCTTATACTGAAAGGAATGAACTGCAACTTCACACACTTATTTGAGAACATAGTAGGAAATTACTGTGCAAGGTCCATAGCTCTTGCATGGATTTTGACTAAATTATGGGCTTTATGGCCCTTTTTGGAACTTACAAAGATTCTTCATCTAAATCTACTTTGTTCTGGGAAAAAATTGCTTAGGCATTGACTACATTTGTAATTGACATAACACAAAATTGATTTTAAATTCAGGATCAAATGATGATTTTGCTCTTATGAGATAGAAAGGTTATTTTCTGAAGTTTCTGTAATAACAAGCAGAATGTGTGTAAATACTTTATTACAGAAATTATCAGGAGAATACATATAGACTTTTACATTGTGTATATCATGAGTGTATAAGGAAATGTCATGATAAAGTGGTCTTAATTGAATATTTTACTTAGCTCTTTGTTTTGTATATATTGAAGGGTTATATGATATATATTAATTAGTTGAAGAATCGTGTTCGTAGCCAGCAGATAGAGAGAGAGAAGGAGCAGACGGACCATGCTGTCATGTTGCGTGAACTACAGAAACTGTTAGCCAATGAGAGACAGGCAAAAGAACAGCTAGAGCATCAGGTAATTTAAATTGTTTGACGCCCACTTGTAAAAATTGTACAATCTTTCACTTGAGATCTTTCTTGTTCCATTCAGCTTGAAGTTTGGCATTTGATGTACAGCTTTGTTATTGTGACTTGAGACCCAAATAAAAGAAAATTTATGCTTAACATTCTTGAACAATTTATGTCAACAGTAGCACTTATTTCTGTCATGATATCCTTTGAATAACTATTGTAAATTGCCAGAGTACATAATCTTTAAAATTTTATAGGCAGATGAAAATAAAAAGTGTTTCAGACAAGCAGATGTTTGTAGCACTGTTTCATACACTCAAATTGTCTGTTTATTTGTTTGATTCAATCAGATATTTGTAGAACTATTTCATTTATTGAGATGTTAAATAACCAATGGCATGGCTTACATGTGCTTTTAATAAAATTATTGCAATCATTTTATCCCATTTAGTAAAATTAAACAGACATTTAACAGTTTATTATAGACAGAAGTTTGTAGAGCTGCTCAATTGCATTTTGTTTGTTTGTTTTTATTAGCTCACCTGTCACAAAGTGACAGGGTGAACTTTTGTGATCGCTTTTCGTCCGGCGTCCCTCCGTCCGTAACCTTTTACTTTAAATGACATCTCCTCATAAACCACTGAGCCAATTTCATCCAAACTTCACAGGAATGTTCCTTTGGTGGTCACCTTTAAAAATTGTTCAAAGTTTTATTCCATGCAGAACTCTAGTTGCCATGGCAACCGAAAGAAAAACTTTATATATCTTCAATTAAAAAACCAATAGAAGTAAAGCTTAGATATTTAGCATGAAACATCTTCTAGTGAGTGTCTATTAAAGTTGTTCAAATAAAAGCCCTGGGGTCAAAATTCGCCCCGTCGCAGGGGTCATTGATTTTCCCTATATGCATATAGTAAAAAATTAAAAAATCTTCTTTTAAAGAACCCAAAGAGCTAGAGCTAAGATATTAAGCATGAAACATGTTCTAATGGGTGTCTACCAAGTTTGTTCAAATAAAAGCCCTAGGGCCAAAATTGGCCCCGCCCCAGGGGGTCATTGGTTTTCCCTATATGCATATATTAAAAACTTTTAAAAACTTCTTTTAAAGAACCCAAAGAGCTAAAGCTAAGATATTTAGCATGAAACATTTTCTAATGGGTATCTTCCAAGTTTGTTTAAATAAAAGCCCTAGGGTCAAATTTGGCCCCGCCCAGGGGGTCATTGATTTTCCCTTTATATGCATATTGTAAAAACTTATAAAATCTTCTTTTAAAGAACTTAAAGAGCTAGAGCTAAGATATTTGGCATGAAACATCTTTTAATGAGCGTCTATCAAGTTTGTACAAATAAAAGCCCTTGGGTCAAAATTGGCCCCGCCCCAGGGGGTCATTGATTTTCCCTATATGCATATAGTAAAAACTTATTAAATCTTCTTTTAAAGAACCCAAAGAGCTAGAGATAAGATATTTAGCATGAAACATGTTCTAATGGGTGTCTACCAAATTTGTTCAAATAAGAGCCCTGGGTTCAAAATTGGCCCTGCCCCGGGGGTCATAGATTTTCCTTATATGTTTATATTAAAAACTTTAAATTAAAAATTCTTGAAAAAAAAAACAAATAGCTAGAGTTTAGATACTAAGCATGAAACATCTAGTGAGTGTCTACAAAGATTTTTCAAATAAAAGCCCTGGGGTCAAAATTGGCCCTGCCCTGGGGGTTATTGATTTTATTTATGTGTATAGCAAAAACTTATAAAATCTTCTTTGAAAAAACCCAAATAGCTAGAGTTAAGATATTTAGCATGAAACCTCTTCCAGTTAGAGTCTTCAAAGTTTGTTCAAATAAAGCCCTAGGGTCAAAATTGGCCCTGCCCCAGGGGACATTGATTTTCCTTATATGTGTATAGAAAAAATTTAAAAATCTATTATAAAAAAAACCCCAATAGCTAGAGTTTAGATATCAAGCATGAAACATCTTCTAGTGAGTGTCTCCAAAGTTTGTTCAAATAAAAGCCCTAGGGTCAAAGCTGGCCCCTCCCTAAGGGTGTCATTGCTTTAACTATTTGTGTATAGTTAAAACTTAAAAAATCTTTTTTTTTAAAAACTCAACGAGCTAGACCTTAGATGTTTAGTGTGAAATATCTTCTAATGGGTGTCTACCAAGTTTGTTCAAATAAAAGCCCAGGTGTTTAAACTGGCCCCACTCTTGGGGCCTATATACAGGTGAGCGACTTCAGGGCAATCATGGCCTTCTTGTTGTGTTTTCTGTCACACTGACACAGTATCGGTCATATGGTGATGTTCCAGCTTTACTAATGGAGGAAAATCTCAGGTGCCCTTCTGTGCATTATTTCAGGCATGACCAGGCACCTGAGTAGAACCACAGACATTCAGTAAGCTAGCTAGATAGCCATGAAATGATCCAAAGTTCCTGTCGGGATTTGAACCCACTGCTGTGAGGGGAAAGTGGCTTGAAGTCAACAACCTTATTCACTCGGCCACAGACGCCCCCAATTTCATTTTGTGAGATGATTGTATAAGTGTTGTATATAATATAGTCAGATGTAATAGAACGGTTACCTTGTTAATAATAAGATAATTGTGTATGCTTTTCTCTCGTCGATTCGTGACTCTTATTTGGAAAAATTGCACTTACACAACAAATATCAGACATACATACAGTTCAATTAGCGCATTTGTTAAATAAATTCATTATCTAAAAGTTAAAAAACTTTAAATTACTTTTAAAAACAACCCCTCAAAGATTAGAGCATCTGAACATGTCAACCATGACTGTCTTGCTCAGCTGGACGCTTACCCATCGATTCGTGAAATCCGATTCACCCTGTGACTTCATCAAAATATAGGTGCTCACACCACTAAATGTTTACATGTTTTTTTTCAGTCTGATCTGATCAATATATATTTCAAAGTCTTAAGTTAATTCTTACAGCATAATGAATATTTTTTTGGCTTAATTGTAAGTGTTTTTGATAAATTAAAACATCAATATCGAATATTTTTAAGTAATTAGGTCATCAGTTGATTGTAGGGTTAGCTCATTTACAACCTGTTCAATTACACATTTTGATTGGATAGAATTGTCAAATCGAGTGTCTAATAAAACTTGTGTAGTTTTCGGATGGTGTATGTCCTTGCAGAAGTATTTATACCAAACAATTGTCTAGGCACGAATCGATGAGAAGGCACGAATGGCATAAGTGTTGTATATAATATAGTCAGATATAACTGTTACCTTGTTTACAGTTAGATGAGGTACAGTTTAGTTTAAAGGAGCAGGACAGGTTGATACCAGAGATAACAAGCACACATGAGAAACAAATTATCCATCTGAAGGAGGAGATCAAAACATTAAATCAGCAATTGAAACAAGTGGAGCTCAAGTCTCAACAACCTTCTCCCATGTTGCTTACTCTGCAAAAAGAAGCTGAAGAACTTAAGGTATCAGTTGTTCTCAGAATGTTTTATTTGTATATTAGTTCGAGGTAGTGTAAGTTGGTTCTTGTAATGGACTTTTCCAGTTTGCCACTTTTGGTTCTGTTCATTTTCAATTTGGGGATATTATGATGAAAATTTTAAGTAAGTCAGTCAACACTGAAGAGCCTAGCCAAACTGCAAGGATGTGCAGGCAGGCCTGGCTCTATACTAGTGACAGAGGCAAATTACCATAGGCTGTTAAAACTTTCAAAAAATTCAAAATTAAGGTCAAAACAGTTAAGTTTGAAAGGAAGTTATCTTTCACATACAGATTATACTCATTGTTCATGTTAACAATAAAAAGAAGTTTGATTAAACCTTATTTTTAAGATAAAAATGTTTCAGGTGTTTAATCTTTGACTTTGTTTGATATATAAGCTTTGAAAATTTTACCCTAATGTTTAATAACATGTAATTGTTTAAGCTTTAAAGTTGCAAAGTATTCTTTTTCCTTGATCAAAATCTTTCACATTGATTTATTACGACATATATTTTAAAATCTATTATAGTATAAATGAATTTTTATTACTATGTTATATAAATAGGTTATACTATTAGTTATAAAGATTGTTGACAGGTTATATGGACCTATATTAATGGCTATTTGTAAATATAACCGGAGCCACTAGGCAAGGGTTATGTTGCAAACAGTCATTTATATAGGGCCAAATAACCTGTCAGCAATCTTTATTACAAATTTAAAATAGAGCAAGCATCATTTTTTTAAAGAAAAAGTAAGATTTCTTCATGAATCGACAGAAGAGGTGTATATAAGACTATATAAATGTCACGATTATCCAATGAAAAGCGACGTTACAAACGTGCAGTATTATAAGATTATTTATAAAAATAAAATGTCATATTATAATGTCAGGCCCAGCATAATTTGATGCTTCAAGAAGATGAGAATCGTGCTAAGGATGTGGAATCTAAGGCCCAGGCCTATAGTGTTCAATGTGAGACAAGAATTGCTGAGCTTGAATCCAAATTATCTGAGTTATCAGAGTCTGTAGGAAACTATGAAAGGTTGAGGTTCCAGGACCAACAAAATATACAGGTACTGTTGTTTATATAGGTAATTTATTTTCTCATTAAAATGTTTCATGACCTGTGTTAGTGTATTATGATATTTAATCGGACCATGCATTTGTATCAAATTTAAATCAGTATAAAATTAACATTGTTTAAAAACTTTCTTCCTTTATTTCCCCACTCAGTGGTGCATGTAGATTTCAGGCCTTTTTTAGCTCACCTGTCACAAAGTGACAGGGTGAGCTTTTGTGATCGCTTTTCGTCCGGCGTCCGTCCGTCCGTCCGTAAACTTTTACTTTAAATGACATCTCCTCATAAACCACTAAGCCAATTTCATCCAAACTTCACAGGAATGTTCCTTTGGTGGTCACCTTTAAAAATTGTTCAAAGAATTTAATTCCATGCAGAACTCTGGTTGCCATGGCAACCAAAAGAAAAAACTTTAAATATCTTCTCTTAAAAAACCATAAGAGCTAGAGCTTAGATATTTGGCATGAAACATCTTCTAGTGAGTGTCTACCAAGTTTGTTCAAATAAAATTCCTGGGGTCAAAATTGGCCCCGCCCCGGGGGGGGGGGGTAATTGATTTCCCTACTTGCATATAGTAAAAACTTTAAAAAATCTTCTTTTAACAACCCAAATAGCTAGAGCTTAGATATTAAGCATGACATATTTTCTAATAGGTGTGTACAAAGTTTGTTCAAAAAGGGGCCTCGGGGTGAAAATTGGCCCCGCCCGGGGGTCATTGATTTTCCTGTTTTGTGTATAGTAAAATCTTAAAAAATCTTTGTTTAAAAACACAAAGAGCTAGAGTTTAGATACTAAGCATGAAGTATCTTCTTGTGTGTGTCTACCAAGTTTGTACAAATAAAAGCCTTGGGGTCAAAATTGGCCCCGCCCCGGGGTGTCATTGATTTTCCCTATATGCATATAGTAAAAACTTAAAAAATTCTCTTTTAAAGAACTCAAAGAGCTATGGCTAAGATATTGAGCATCAAACATGTTCTAATAGGTGTCTACCAAGTTTGTTCAAATAAAAGCCCTGGGGTCAAAATTGGCCCCGCCCCAGGGGGTCATTGATTTTCCCTATATGCATATAGTAAAAACATAAAAAATCTTCTTTTAAAGAACCAAAAGAGTTAGAGCTAAGATATTTAACATGAAACATGTTCTAATAAGTGTCTACCAAGTTAGTTCAAATAAAAGCCCTGGGGTCAAAATTGGCCCCGCCCCGGGGTGTCATTGATTTTCCCTATATGCATATAGTAAAAACTTAAAAAATCTTCTTTTAAAGAACTCAAAGAGCTATGGCTAAGATATTTAGCATCAAACATGTTCTAATAGGTGTCTACCAAGTTTGTTCAAATAAAAGCCCTGGGGTCAAAATTGGCACCGCCCCGGGGGTCATTGATTTTCCTTATATGTGTATAGCAAAAACTTAAAAAATCTTCTTTGAAAAAACCCAAATAGCTAGAGTTAAGATATTTAGCATGAAACATCTTTTAGTGAGTGTCTACAAAGTTTGTTCAAATAAAAGACCTGGGGTCAAAATTGGCCCCGCACCGGGGGTCATTGATTTTCTTTATATGTGTATAGCAAAAACTTAAAATCTTCTTTGAAAAAACCCAAATAGCTAGAGTTTAGATATTAAGCATGAGACATCTTCTAGTAAGTGTCTACAAAGTTTGTTCAAATAAAAGCCCAAGGGTCAAAACTGGCCCGGCCCCAGGGGTGTCATTGTTTTTAACTATATGTGTATAGTAAAAACTTTAAAAAAATCTTCTGTTAAAAAGCCCAATGAGCTAGAGCTTAGATGTTCAGCATGAAACATCTTCTTATGGGTGTCTACCAAGTTTGTGCAAATAAAAGCCCTTGGGTTAAATTGGCCCTGCAACGTTGGGGGGGGGGGGTTTGGGGGGCCTTTTTACAGGTGAGCGACCTCAGGGCCATCATGGCCCTCTTGTTCTAATCAGTTTGGGAAAGTTTTGCATCATAAAATTGCCTAATAAGGAAAAATATTTTGTACCTTTTGAAACTTTTCAGGCTCTGTTGGCATAGTATTTTGAATTGTGTGACATTGTTTATTCAAATTATTCTTACCAACCCAAATATCAACTGAAGCTTAAAAAATACTTTAATATTTGATGATAAAATTTCAGGAAATGTCTTGTTGTTAGATACAGGACACATTTCTAATTTTAAACATTTCTTTCCGTATATGTGTATAAAGATGTTGCTTAAGTTGCTGATTAGATGCATTCTGATTGATATCACAGACTTGTCTAAATTCTTAATTTAGCTTGACACTTTTTAAAATTCCATAAGGTTAGTTTGTTTATGTAAGAATTAATACAAATCATTCATTTTATGATCAGAAACTGAAGGATAGGATATCTCAGCTAGATCAGGAGAATACGGTACTAGCCGAAGCTTCATCTGCCAAGTCACATCAAGATGATGACATCATGGATATACCAACACTTGTAGAGAAAATAAATAATCTAAAATCCAAACTGAAATTAGCAAATTCTCAGACAGATCAACCTGTTAATATTGGAGGTAGTCTTACTTTCTTATATGTTAAAGGCCCATTATGCCTCAAAAATGCAATCATTTTTAGCTAGACTATTCGAAGAATATGAGAGCTATTGTAGTCACCCCGACGTCGGCGTCTGCGTTGGTTAAAGTTTTTTGTAAAGTCAAATATCTCAATTATTGCTTGAGATATTCAATTGAAACTTACAATACTTATTTATAGTAACAATGTACATAAGATTGACAAGTTGGATAACTCTGCCTACAATATTTACAGAATTATGCCCCTTTTTAACTTAGAAATTTTGGTTAAAGTTTTTTGTAAAGTCAGATATCTCAATTATTGCTTAAGTTGGATAACTCTGCCTACAATATTTACAGAACTATGCCCCTTTTTAACTTAGTGATTTTGGTTAAAGTTTTTTTGTAAAGTCAAATATCTCAATAACTATCAGAGATTTTGATTTAAAACTTCTCATATGCATGAAGGGTCATAATTGTACGTCACTGACCAGGTTCCATAACTCTATCTTGCATTAAGGCTGATTTATCTCCCCTTTTCTACTTAGTCTCTTGGTTAATGTTTACATGCAAGTTTTACATATCTCAAACTATTAAAGATATTTATTTAAAACTTCACATATGCATTAAGGGTCATAATTGTAGGTCACTGACCAAGATCCATAATTCTGTCTTGCATTTAGGCTGATTTTTCTCCTCTTTTTCAACTAAGAAATTAATGGTAAAGTTTTGCTTGTAAGCTGTTATCTCCATAAGTACTGAAGGGTTTGTGCCTTTTTTTGGGACAATTTTATGCAATCATAATAATTAAGCAGTGATTTACTTGATGAAACATCATAATAACAAGCCTTTGTACCTTTTCAGTCAATTTTATGTATTCATAGGTAAGCATTATTATACTCAATAAAACACCCTTGTGACAACTTTTTCGAATAGTCGAGCCTTACTGTCCTCAGACAGTTCTTGTTTCTCCAAATTTTTGTAAGGATTTCAAAATGCTAAAGCCATTATCAAAATATGATTAAACACATGTTGGACCTTTCTAAAGAATTTAATTAATATGGATTTCTGGGGCATAATGTGCATTTAATAATTCATCATACTTGTACACATATATTTGATACAGAGTTACTGGTATGTATTTATTCCCTTTGCCAAAGTTATTGTCCTTAACCAAAAGGCAGATTGTTGTGTAGTTCTTGTGATAGTTATATCTTAAATTTTACTTTACAATACTAAACTTAATGATCATTGTATGGATAATGTAAATTTCTTTCATTATTAGTCCTAGTATTTAATATGCTGTGGGTAAATACTTCAACTATGACTGACATAATACATTTGTATTTTCATTATTTCAGAGTTGTTGTTAGATGATTCTGATAGTGAACATCCTCTATGTAAGAAGTATAGAGAAGAACTAGAGCAGGTTAAAGATGAGTTTGAGAGATACAGACTTAGAGCACAGTCTGTACTTAAAAATAAAAAGGTTAGATCTTTATTGTTATACTGTTATTGTACATACATGTACACTAATATGAATTATTGTGCCTGATTGATCTGGCACTTTCTTTTGTGATTTGGTAGATAGAGTCTGTCTATTATCATTCTTATTTACTGCAGTTTCAAATTAATCTGCGTAGAACTTCTAATTGCGGAAACAGAGTCGTAGAACTCTTGTTATGGAACTAACTACCAGTATATGATAAAATATCTAACTACCAGTATATGATAAAATATTATTGTGTCTATGCAAAACGCTACAGAAGAATTAACAGAACTGATCATTACTTTATCCTGATTAACTTAGTCATTGATTTCTTTGTCTTTTGCTTAAACTTATTTGTCATATTAAAAAAAAGAATTTGAAAATGCAGAATCTAGTTTATTAGGAAGGGAAAGAAATAAACTTTTATGCACTGCCTTTATTATCACAAAGGGAAAGTGGACAAATTACTTTTCATGTCAGCTATTTTATCTATAAAATTCATTAAATAGATGCTAGTAGTGTATGGATTTATTTTTATATTATTTAGAAATAAAATTTCACAGTTTAAGTGATAAATATTGTTGAAATTTTACGGTATTGTTAACCTTTTCATAAAAAAACAATTTCTGCCTGTGAAACTTCTGCCATTCAATATTGAATTTTGAATAATTACAGTAATTATGGTATGCAAATAAATGTAAAATGAACGCCTGCATGAGAAAATAACCCTTACCATCATGTAACAAATGACGTCAAAAGATGATAATGTTGTCTGACTTTAAAAATAAAAAAAGTGAATTGCTTTTGAAATGTTAAAGATAATATGAATAAGTGACTTAAGCAAATTTCAGAAGACTTAATTTATTTTAAGGGCAATAGAAATGGATACTTTTTTAATCAAATATGTAAATTAATAAAAATAGTAAATGGCCTTGTGGGTTGTTTTTCTCATGGCAATGGTCATGACATGTTAAATATACATGTATTTATGTTGTAGGAGAATACACCATCTAAAGATGAGGACATATTAAAGGAGCATGTAAATGAGTTAAGAGAAAAGTTACGTACCATGCATATACAACAAGAGGAGGAAATTGATCATTATAAACAAAGAGAGGAAAATCTTCGTAAAACCATGCTAATGTTGCAAGATAAACATAAACAAGAGGTAATTCATGCAAATGTTACAGTTTATATGCTAATGTGACAGGATAAACATAAACAAGAGGTAATTAATGCTAATGTTACAGTTTATATGCTAATATGACAAGATAAACATAAAAATTTTATGCTCATGTGAGAGAATAATTATAAACAAGAGGTAATTTATGCTGATGATATAGTTTATATGCAAAAATGACAGGATAAATATAAACAACAAGTAATTAATGCTAATGTGAGAGGATAAATATAAATAAAAGGTAATTAATGCTATATTGCAGGATAAACATAAACAAGAGATGAAATAACACTTTTGAATCTGAAATATCATCAAGCTAGTGCAAAAGGTGCTAATTTAGAGTATCTGAAAAATGTGACATATAAATGAGTGGGTAATGTCATAAGTTTCTTGTAAGTTGATTATTTGCTTTTAGTAGATTAATGTAAATCATCCCAGATTTGTGTCAGATTTGTATAATATTCTATACATGTATTTTATATATTAAGGTGACACATTTACAAGCTGAGCATCACTCACAGCTACAGGAGTTTGAAGATGAGATCAAGAAACAGAGAGATCGTACTGTATCAATGTTAGCGGAGAAAGAGAGAGAATTAGAGGTGTTGAGGTCATCATCATCACAGAGGTTACAATCAGACTACCTCATGAAGTATAGGTGATTATCTTAGTATGATTTTCATGATTTATACATCAATGTTTGACAACTTCCAAACGTTTTTTCCAAAGTTTTGTTTTTGACTGTGATAGATTTGTATCCTCCAATGACTGTGAATTCTTTCATGTGGAAAAAAGCCCCACACCACTGTGGGTTCGAATCCTGAATGGGACTTTGGATTCTTTCATGTGAGGAAGCTATCCAGCTAGCTTACGGAACATCGGTGGTTCTACTCGGGTGCCTGTTCGTGCCTATAATAATGCACGGAAGAGCACCTCAGGTCTTCCTCCACCAGTAAAGCTGGCACGTTGCCATATGACCTATACTGTTTTGGTGTGACGTAAAACACAATCAGACAAACAAACAAACATGCAGAAAAAGTACTTTGTTTGTTTATAGCAAGTGGTTCTCCCTATGCATCTGCCTATGCCTGAAATAATGTATGCAGGAGCATTTGGTGCCCCTTTTACCAGAAAGCTGGAGAATTTGTATGACTTTTTATGTTTTAATGATTATAGTAATTGACAATACTCCTAAATTTTCTTTTTATTTTATATTTTAAAGAGCTAATCATGACATGGGTGGAGCTTCATCTGAAAGGCAGAACTCTGAGGATGAGGCAGTCACTAGACTTTTAGCCACACCTCCTTCTGGACAAGGGGAGATGACTCTATTATACTTTGCTCAGGAGCAGGCACGCAAGGATGTTGAGATAACTTCTCTGAGGAAACAAAAGCGTGAATTAGAAATAGCTTTAAGAGATTTACAAGTGACATCAGGAAATAAACAGGAACAGTTGTATGAGGAGATAGACAGATTGAAGGAAGAGATAAGGAAGTTAGACAGGAGTATAAGTAGAGAAGGTGCTAATTTAGAGTATCTGAAAAATGTGACATATAAATTCTTAATATGCCATGATCCAGTAGGGAAACAACAAATGTTGAATGCAATAACCACAATTCTACAGTTTAGTCCACAGGAGAAAACATCAGTTCAAGCTCAGAATAGGGGCTGGTGGGGAAGTTCTGTATAGGTTATATGGATACAAAAATGTATATATATATATATAATCATTTTGATAATATTTATTCTGTATACATGTGATCATTACATACAATCAATCAAATCCTTTCATTTATATTAAATGGTAAAATAGTTGAATGATGGATTATTTGATTATTTGGTTCTTTAAAAAAAAGGGATAAAACTGAGAAAATTTATGATCAGTTAATGTTTAAATTTCAAATTTTGACACAAGTAAAGTCAAGACCATAAGAGGGCAAGGCACGACTTGAGTGGTGTTTGGGTTAATATTGACTTGTTCTCTATAATAAGATAAAGTTATGAATACAAGTTGAAATGATGCTTTGTTCATGTATAGGCATTATTGTATGTGAATTCTAATTGTTATGTGAATACTTATATATTTTGGGTTTTTGGTTTTAAAAATTGGTGCTGTATAGCTTAGTGGCTTCCAAATGTATTTTTTAACCCTTTCCTCACTAGATATTATGTCAAATAGACTTGTCCATCATTCAGTCTGGACAAAACAATTCACATAAATGCGATATCCCAGCAAGATAAAAAAATCCAGGTATTTTGACCCTGACCCCTATTCCCAATATCAGAGATTGAATTTTATTATATTTATTTCTCTCATTAAAAAAATGCCACTTTAAAAAAATTACAAACACAGCAACTGTCAATAAAATGTAAACAGTGTCTCTGGGCATTGATCTGTCCACGGACAGTACGATATGGATGTGTTGATATTGAACAGCAAGATGACATAATAAATAGTTTCAGGGGACGAGTGCCTGTTGTTGTTTTGCACCTGTGGCATCAGTTGGTTCTTTATCAGTGAGTTTTAAAGGTTTACACTGTGATTGGGTCTTTTTTTGGCAGTAGGTAGTATACACTATCGTCACAACATCTGTGTAAATTTAACATGCATGAATTGTTTTATCAAGTTTTGTGTGCATTTAATGAAAGTTAGCACCACTTTTGATTTCCTTTTAATCAGTGCTGCAGTGATAATGATTAAAGGTTGGCCAAATCATTTAAACAGGATCATAAAAAACCCTGTTTGAAATGTGACAAAAACATGTGTAATTCATTTGTTTAGGGAGTCTGTTATTTATATTATACCATTTCAGAGTTACACATTTGTTAAGGAATTACACATTTATAAGTATTTTTCAAAAATGTAGATTAAAAGGAAAATGTAAAATTTCTTGCACTAATTTTTGAAAAAAATAATTATATTTTTTGTCATATTTTTCTTGTCTTAACTCTTTGGATTATGAATAAATTTCTAGCATTTTTGCAATTACACAGAAATGACTTGTCATTCACTTTTTAGCATGACACATTGTTGGTAAAAAATGCCATAATGTGATCTTTCCTCTTCAGTGCTATTTTTTAAGAGATATTTATCCCATGGTTGAATGGACTTGAAAAAATAAAACAAATGTTTAATCAGGGGAGGTTATTTGTATTTTATCAATATTTTTAAATATCATGATCATTTCACTAGGTACATGTATTACACTCAGACGGTTGATTGATGCAGTAAATACATAATTAAATATTTAGAAATAATTAACATAAATACTCCTAAAAATATAAAAATAATAGAAAGCATATTATCATTTAAAAAAAATTCTATATTAATATCAAATTTTTACATTAAAATAATGGTATTTATTGATATTTCTGTATGAATATTAAGAGGATATTTTTTCGTTTGCGTGAAATATGGTATATGTTTTCACGAAACATGATAAAATGCAAAATATTTTCACGAGCTGGTACAGTGAGTGAAAATATGTGGCATTTTATCATGTTGAGTGAAAATATATACCATATTTCACGAAAAACGAAAAAATAACCTTTTTATTAAATTTCATTATCAAAGAAAATGGTAACGAATCCTCTTGCTTGCTACTAACTGGAATTGTACAGCGCGCAGTAATTTATGCGTAAGCACGCGCTGTTTGGCACTACATTGTGACGTCATGTAAACAACTCTTTAAACGTCTGTACAGCGTTAATTACTGAATTAAAGATATTGGTGTTTGGATTAATTTTCTTAGTTAGACCATTTTCTATCATGCTAGATAGTTTTCAAAACAAAATTCAAGAAAAAGTTGTTTTGTATTTATCAGATTTTTCAAACAAAACGGCAAAAGAAGTCCCTTAAAATAAATATGAGTTTTGACTCCGCCCACTTTCATATTTATGTTTCATATTTATTTTTAAAAAATATGAAATATATTTGACTGATATAGCACCATATTTCATGGGTAAAATTAAATAATTGATATTATTATCAAGCACAAATTATAAATAAATTCCCTGTCTATACTGTTACCAAAATACAATTTTAATACAGAAAACATGCTTAAATTCAGTACAGAATATATCATATATATATATCATTGTTTATGAGGTATTTTTCTAGTAAAATTATTATATTTATTTAATAAATTTTTCTCTATTTATGATTTGGGTTGTAAACATATTTTGTAATCATTTTCTTCATTGGAAAGGGACCATATTCATTATACAGTCAAACCTTGTTTATATAGAATATAAGTTTTGGCAAGGAAGATTTTATAGGTATGGATTATTCTAGAGGTTGGTGTAGGACAGTGTTTGACTGTATAAATATTTTCATAAATTATACTGTTTTATATATGAGCCGCATCATGACAAAAGCAACACAGTGCGTTTGCGACCAGCATGGATCCAGACCAGCCTGCGCATCCATGCAGTCTGATCAGGATCCATGCTGTTCGCTTACAAACCCTTTAACGAGTAGAGAAGCTGATAGCAAAACAGCATGGATCCTGATCAGACTGCACAGATGCGCAGGCTGGTCTGGATCCATGCTGGTCACAAACGCACTATGTTGGTTTTGTTGTGACGCGGCTCATATGTGATATGCAGGTCCAGCTGCTCTTTATTTTATTAAGATACATTTTGTCTAATGTTATGGGATTTCTTACTACCACAGTGCTAGTTTATTTATATGATAAGCAGGGATTGGTGAAAATTATTGTAGGAAATATTCTCCACAGAATTATTTTGTAAGAATTTGATTTTAAACATTTCATTATGCTTAAATTTGTCATTATATTTAGTGCCTTTATTAATTAAGTGGAAGTACTGCATTTATTATTGGTAAATGTATGTATTAAAATGAAAAACATGTAATGTGTAGAATGTTAACTTTTTTTACAAAAGGGAACAACTTAGAAAAAAAGAATATATTTTCTAGCAGAAGTTGTTTGTCCACGAAATAACGTTTTATTTCTTTCTTGAGTTTAGGATATTATAATATGCTAAAAAAGTCACAAACCTTGTCTATGAATTAATTATCGGTAATAGATGAAAGTAGGGTATAGTTTTATATTTGTATGCTATGACATTGTTATATCATACTATTATTTTTGTCATTAAATTTATGAAATGTCATAGGATATTTGAACTAGAATTGTTAACATATTAAATGATAATAAGAAAGTTAAATGAAAGAAGAAAACTTAGTCTGAAAGTTATTTGATATTGCTAATTACTTATCTTTTTAGTATATTTTATCACATACAACAATTACAAGAAGACTGGTTGTTCAAAAGTAAAGAAATTTGGCTAGCGGGCATTAGATTTTCCTAGGTAGATTTTCATATTTATATAGCTATATGATTATATATGGTATTGCTTTATGGTATTTGGTTATTAATTTGGTAATGATGCATATGATACTGGTAAACTATATTCACTGATACAGGTGAATGAAGTTTCCTGTATATGTTATAAATTATAGGGCAAAATTCTCAAAATTTTCACATTTCATCATTTATGAAATTTGAATGTTTTGCTGCCATGTCTCAATATGCAAGAAATTTTTGATTGTATATATTTCAAGCAGTGACATTCAACTTGTTTGAAAATCAGAATACTTTTGTAAGAAATATTTGTTATTTTTTTTGGTAAGAGTAATCTCCCTTTGAATCAGGAAAAGTGATATGTCACATAAAATGTCATGTTGTTCAACAACATTGTAATGGCACACTGGTGTTAATGAGTTAGTGATACTTGCTGTATATAGTTGGTAATATGATGTGTTGTTATGTTTATAGTGCAATATCTTTTATTCACACTTAAAACTTTGCTCACTTGTAAAAGGGCTTACCATGGTTGAATCATTATATACTATATTTTTAGAGTAGAAATCAATTGAAAATGTCAAAATCAAAAATGTTTAGATTGTTTCAGGATCCAATTCAAATTGTGTATTTTCAATAACATTCATTCATTGACCAGTCATTTATAATTATTACGAAAGAAAAAAAAAGATATTGAAAAGTGTCAAATAAAAATGGACATCTAATGTTTTGACCTTGTAATTCAGGGGTGTCTGTGGCCAAGTGGTTCTGGTCATTGACTTCATACACCTCACCTCAAGGGAATTTCGATTCTTTCATTTAAGTAAGCTATCCAGCTAGCTAACAGATCATGGGTGGTTCTACTCAGATGCCCGCTCATGCATGAAATAATGCACAGGGGGCACCTGAAGTATTCCTCCACAAGTAGCCATATGACTTTACTGTTTTGGTGTGACAAAAACCTAACAAATCAAACAAACCTTGATATCTGTATATGTATTTAAATTTCTTTATTATTTAGCTAACATTTTTTTCTTAAAACATCCTGAAACAATTTTCAATTATCTTTGATTGGTTGCTTTATTTATTTATTGCAAAGTTAAATATTAATACATACATGGTAACATCTTGCTGATTGTTTGATTGTGAATTTTATTGTTTGGTGATTTAATTGAAGTTTCATTTTCTGGAACAGGAATGGTTAAATATTATTTGTGATATTTGTGATATATTTGATCTTATGTCAAATTGAAAAAATAAATAATTGAATAACAGATGTCTTTTTAATCCTTTTATTTGAATAGAGAACTTATTCTTTCTGTTGTCCCTTGGAATTAATCATACATCAACAGGATCTTTTCAGTATTACTTTTGCAAGAAACTACATAAATGAATTGACATTTGAATTCATTA